CTGGTGATGACGAAGGCGAAGTTCTACAAGCCCAACAAAGCCAACATCACTAGGAAACCACAAGGAGCTGGGAGACACAGCGCCCTCAGGAGGAACCAGCCCTGAGGCACTTCAACTTTGGCTTCCAGCCTCCAGGGCTATGAGACAATGCATTTTTGTTGTGTGTGCCACCCAGTTTGTGGCACTTTGTCCTGGCAGCCCTGGTCAACCATCTGGCTAAGGGATGGAAGTCATTCTGTGGTAGACTCTTGCTGGTGAGTGGCTGGATAGATCTGAGAGGCAGATTCAACACTGAGGCCAGACCTGGAGGCCTCTCCAAGAGCAGCCAGAGCTGCCTTTCAGCGCAGTGCACTTCTACCACTAAAGATGTTTAAGTGGAGAAAGGATGAGCCCTGCTGGGGATGTCACAGGGGGAACACCTGCCTTGGAGCAAGGCAAGGATGAACAACCTCCAAGATTTCCTCCAACTGTAAAATTCATGGTTCTTTCTCCAAAAGGGAGAAAGATAACTAAAAACTAATTTAAAAATTTAAGTTGGGGATTGCTCTGTTATTAGAAAGGACAAAAACTATAGAAGTACAAAAACAGAACCAGTAAAATCATATAATCAATCACAGGATAAAGTCCTGGTATTTTTGCCCACTTATCCCAAGATCTACTATCTTAGCAAATTTTATGTATCCAACACAGAATCATTAAGTACAGAAACTACGTTGGACAGCAAATCTCCAGGACTTACTCATATCGCGAAACTGAAATTCTGTGCCCTCTGAGGAACATTGTCCCATGTCCTCCTTCACCATTCTACTCTCAGCCTCTCTGAGTCTATTTTCAATTGCTTAGACAAATGAGCCATGTGGCTTCTGACATTATATTACAGATGCATTGATAGGATTTGGTGGCAAATCAAGGTGGGTTACCGTGAGCTTTATGTGTAGGCATTAGAAGCCTGGAGTTCAAGTCAGGAAGGTTCCTATCCTGCCTCCCAAGAACTTTGTGGACTTGACTTGTCCGCAAACTTCTCTGAGCAAGTTTCCTCGTTTGCAGGAGACACTATCACCTGGCTTGGTGTCATGCCAGGAGGATAACATGAAATAATTAACAGGAAGTGAAAAGCATATAGAAAGCATACAGTAAATATGAAATGCTTGTCCTCAGAGCCAAAACAAAAGATCTCTCTCTTTCTCTCCCTCCCCCCACCCCGACACACACCGGGGAGAGGGAAGAGTGGGCATATAACAGAAACAGGGATGATGAAAATCAAAGCTTTAAAGGAAATTTCTTTGTTAGATCCCACAATGTAAATGGTGGTCATTCCCATGTAAACATGTTTTCTTTGCTAATATCATATCTAAGTTAAATTGTTGGGAATCATGGTTTGCTACTTAATCCCACATGAACTCAAGTGGAATGATGGATTTTAATTTTTTAAAGGGTAACCGGCTCATTTGAAATATCAAAGACTGGTCCATGTTTAGGGCCTTTTTCTGATGTACTGGCCTGGAGAAACTTCTCTCACTCTGGTTTTCTCATCTGTGGCATGGAATTAGTCTCCCCTATCTCAATAAGCTGGTTGGATGACCAACAGGGATCAGGCCCAGAACAAGTGCAAGGGGAGATGGCAGGGAGCCTGTTGCCATGGTGTCCTCAGAACTCCATGATGGGGTTGTGGAGGCATACTCTCCCCCAAGTGGACCCCCTAAACACCAAGGGAAGAGAGGGCCAGTGGATCGTGATAGAGCCATCTGGAGGGAGGAGTAATGCATGAAATGAAGCTTTAAGGTAAGGAAAAACTTGTGTTCAGCAGGATCTTTCAGAAAATGACGTGGTCTCTAAGGAAACTTGAAGAAGGCTGCAGTGAAAGAAATATGCAAATGGGTAGCAGCCTCGCCCACGGAGCCCTTCAGCCATTCCCCAGTCTTCGTGGCTTCCTTTCCCTCTTTTAATTGCATGCTTTTCCTAGGGATATTCATTGATCTGAACTGTGCATCATCGGGGGCTTGGATCCCTTCCCTGTGTGGTTTGAATCGGCCCCCTTCGCTTTAGCCGGAGGGAGGGGTGATGCGGAAGAGTGCCCGGCCATCTTTCTGCTCATTCACCCTCAGTGCCTCTTCTTCACCCCGCTGCCGGTTTGCTGCAGGCCCTGGGCGTGCGGCCTGACTCCTGCGCCGCAGTGTCGGCCTCCTCATTAGGCAGGCTCGGCGCTGGGCGCTCGCCGTGTCAGAGCTGGCCAGTGCATCAGGATGCAGCGCAGGCCTCGGGCTCCTGGGAAGCTGCACACTCCGCATGAAATATGAAGGCAACAGCCAGCCCCGGGGAGACCCAGGGTGCACTTCGTGAAACAGCAGCAGAGGTGGCTGGGGCGGGGGAAGGAAAGAGAGGACGGCGCTACTACGCGGGCCCCTATCAGGTACTTTAAAGGCACCACTTGGTGGAGGAGAGGGATTCAGGCAGAAGCTCCCGGTTTCTGTGTCCCTGGGGCTGCTCCTGACTTGCACTCCCCCAGGGCAGCTTCCTGCACACACTCCGGGTGCCTCCGTGATTACTGCCGGGATGCGCCCTTTTGAGATCCGCCTCGACTCTCTCTCCCGCGGTGCTCATCACTGATTCTTGAGTTTCTCTTTGGGGATGAGCTGAAATCCTAAGAACAGTCTGTGTGGATTTTGGAATACCTGACAGTAAGGGGCATAATAAAAAGTAATGATTGTCCAGCGGGCCCTGGGGAGGCTTGTTGCCCTCTCCTGTGGGCCTGTAGAGGTTAAATGTGCTGAGCGAAGCCTGATGCTAAAACTGGTCCTCCTTGTTCCTGCAGATGCTTCCTGTTGCCAGCCTAGGCTCCGGATGAGGGGCAAGCCACTGCTCCCCTCTAAAGCACCGAGAGCCCACTGTGTGTCTTGGAAACCATGTGGGGTCATGTGCTGTGCACACATCCCTTAGAGCTCTCCCCCAACTGGGGCCCATGCAGGTTGGTGAAGCAGAGATGCTATAGCGTTTGCTGGTGTATAGCCAGGGACAGGCACATGGTAGGTACACATCCAAATCATCTTGAAATGCAGAAATCTGGGGGATCCATTTGTCTGCCTCTTGGCCTAAAGCCACGGTGCCAGTTACAGTGTCCCATTATTGTTGCTTACAGAGCATCCCTCTTTGTTTTAATCAGAGAACAAATAATTTGATATACCTATGTATAAGTATACTCATAGAGTTTCCCCCTTGAACTCCTGGGTTACGAAGGTATCCATGGGCTATACAGGAGCAAATGATGACTCACGAGGGGTGGACAATTCTTATCTCTGGCAGTCTCTTGTACCAAGGCTAGGGAGAGCAGATGCCCAGAGCTGCAGGCTCATCCTGCTTGCCTCTACCTGTGGTGGAAACAGTTTGCATTCCTTATGTTGGATGGATGCGAGTTTTCTGCAAGAAACCCTGAAGCCATGAGGTCTTCTTAGAGCTGAGCCATGTCTGGTTGGACCAATCTGCAGAGTGAATGGGCACTGAATGCACCACTGGTTAGAATGTGGTGAATATGGCAGAACCTTCAGCACACAGAGATGTATTTGGTACTTCCTGTCAGTACTGCAAAGCAATTGACTTCTCCAAATGGAAAGGACTCAATTTCTGGTTAGCTTCTGATGGAGTAGTGGAGGCGGCAGGATTCAAATAGATTATTGCCTTCTCCGGAGACTGTATGCCTCCTGGGGGCAAGGCATCAGCTGTTGTGTTCACCGTGGTATCCCCCATGGTTAGAACAGTGCCTACCATGGACTAGGCACTCAACACACATTTGATTGACTACTGCAAAGAGAGTGTAATGCCTTCTCTGTAGCCAGTGATGGGTTCAGGGTTGGACCAATTAGAATCTTCCCTGGCCTTCATATACAGATATTGAGAGATAGACTGTCTCTGCTGCAGCTAGGGAGCCAATCAGAATGACAAGAGAATTGGGCCATTAGACAAAATGAAGAGCTGAAGAGAGAGACAGAGCCAGCAAGGCCACTGACCCTAACCACATAATACAACCATAGATCCAGCCCCAGCTGAAGAGCCAAACCAGGATGCCATAGTTTTATCGAACCAATAAAATCCTTATTTATTTATCTGCTTAAGGTAGTACAGAAGAGGGTTTCCATCACGTAAAACCAAAAGTGGTCTGACCAATACACTTGCTTCATACGAGCCCTCTCTACTTTCAAAGCTATTCATTTCTCCCTTGCTAACAGGCGGTCTCCTCTTTACATTAAAAGCATGTGGATCTCACAAAAGTCCATTTCCACACAGTGGTCATCTTGTCCATCCCTCTTGCTCTGTTTAACCAGAACCGTGAGCCACACACTCAAGACAGACGTATCTTTCCCATACAAAGAATCTGGACAAAGGGAATTCTTTACATGCCTGGAGAGCAGACTTAACAGTTCCCACTGGTGACAGACCTCGCCGCCACCCTGGAACGCAAGGCACCACCCCCCTGGAGCTCACACTCATATTGCAACTCCAGACTTGGCTCTGTGGGGCTAGCACTCAAGCCTCTGTGGCTTGTGTTATAGGAATGGGGTTTGTCTCTACAGTCAGGAGACGGCCAGTTTTCAGAGAACAAAAGAGAGGGAAGAAGATAGACACTCCTCAGACTTGTCCACTAAGAACAAGCAATGCACATTCCTGCAGATAAGTAACTTCCCTCATCATGGTCGCCGAGGCTCAGAGGGACTCAGCAGTCCTGTGTCCGCGGGCTGGGCTGTCTCATCTGAGTGGCTGTTCTTTTTCTCCCTCCACTGGGTTGCCTCCTGGGGAACACCGTCTGGTTCACTTGTGCAGGCCAGCCCACTCAGTACCACGGCGGCCACTCTGTATGTCCAACGATGACAGCACAGGGCTTAGCGCCACTTCATACTAACCTAATGGGGAGGCAAAGCTCCAGACCACCCTCTCCATGGTGTGAGGGAATGGCTGGACATGGAGATGCACAGAAACGAGAGAAGCTTGGAGTCCAATTTCCGGCCTCTGTGGCCCACCCAGCCTCTGGGGTTGTGAGCATGGCCTGGGAAGGCGTTCTGTTCTTGAACAAGAAGGGATGCCTCTGGCTGGTTGACAGCCCCTGACACACCTCGTTTTTGTTCTGCAGGTGTTGGAAAGAGGATGCAGCCATCCCCAGCCCTCAGCAGGGAAGGGTGGAAAATGCTGCACTGTGCACGGGTGAGTGTGCACATGTGTGCATGTGTGGTCCTTGGAGCAAGGGCCGGGCAGGGACCAGTCTGCAAAACAACATTAAGAAACCGAAACATTTTCCACTGAGAACCAGAATTACTGCCCGTGGAATTCTTCCCCAGCCCAAGAAGTGAGCAGCAGCCCCTCCTTTCATTAGTTCAACAAAGAGGGTTATTTTTCAAATGAAAACTTTCAGTGTGGAAAACAAGTGGATTCCCGGGGCTTTTTGGGAATCCTGCGATTCTGGGCACTCCATAAACACGTCTACACGGACGTGAGGTTGCAGAGGGCAGTGTGGGCACCCTGACACACAACAGGGCTGGCCTGGCCAGTGGGGGGCGTCAGGACTTAGCTTCAGGCCTCTGAAAACAATCCCAGGTAGAAAGGCCAAGGGAGGGAGTGAACTATGGCCTGGAAGGTCTGAACTGCTCTGGGAGGGGGAAAAAATGCAAAAATAAAAACGTTTTCTGTAAGTCCATTAAATGATGCCCTCTGTTCCACAAAGCCAGAGAACAACTTCTGACTGGAAACTAATCTGCAAAGGCAAGCCCTGATTGGTCCACTGGGGTGTATTTGGTCTTGGTGAACTCCTGGCCCTCCGAGCTTGCAAAAAGAAAACCAGCTTCTTTCACAGACCCGTGGGGGAAATGTCATGACTTTCTCTTGAGGAGTTCTCTTCCTGGAAGCTCCTGAGCACTGGCATGTGTTTAAGAGCAAGTAGGAATGCGAAGGCAGACTGGCAGAGTTTGAATCGAGCTCCATCCCTTAGCAGTGTGTGCTGATTCATTCTAGGCCTCAGTTTACCTCTCTGCAAAGGGGAAAAGCAATGGTATGCACAGCGTAGAGTTAGCATGAAGATGCAAGGAGAAAATGCTTAGCACTTAGCACCATTTCTGGCCCAAGGAGGAACGTGGTAATTGTGAAGTTAAAGAGACTTGGCATATGGTCATAGGCCTATGCTCTTTCAATTAATAAATCTCACTCTTTGAGGTTTCTACTCTCCCCATCTTACTTGGGGAGAGAGTGTTATTTAAAAAAATAAAAGCGGACACAGAATAGCTTCTCTTCAAATCGGAGCTTCCTTCTCTAATCGGTCCGTGAATGTTTCGGGGAGTGCTCTATTTAACTTGGCCGGCCCCTGCTTTTGCCGTGAGTAATATGTTGGGCTCAATTTCAAACTCCACACAGCCAAGATCGCTGGATACTTGAGCTTCCCCAAGCTGAGTTGACACAGCTGCTCTGCCCCTGGTCACTGGTGAGTTGTCCCTGTGGATTCCAAAGCGTCTTAACACAAACAGGTCAAGGTGCATGGGCCAGCCCTGACAGTCAAGGACATGGGTTCCCACAGAGAAATGCCCAAGTGAGACAAGACTAAGGAGACCTGAGAGCCCTCCAGAGTCGTCGTAGGAGGCTAGGCAGAGAGCTGACAGGCCAGAGATGGCACAGAGAGGGCTCAGTGGAGCTGGAGATGCACAGTGTTGCTGGGAGCACTTGTCCTACAAGGGGAGCGCAGGAGGGCGAAAGAGACCATCCTGGGGGTTGGCGCTGTGGTGTAGTAGGTTAAGCCTCCACCGGAAGCACCGACATGCCTTATGGATGGCAGTTTGAGTTCCGGCTGGCTGCTCTACTTCCAATCCAACTCCCTGCTAATGCACTGCTAATGCAGCGGAAGCTGGCCCAAGTGCTGAGGCCTTTGCACCCACAAAGGAGATCCAAAAGAAGCTCTTGGTTCCCGGCTTCGGGTAGGCCCAGCTCCAGCCATTGCGGTCACTGGGAGGTAAACCAGCGGATGGGAGACCTTTCTCTGTCTCTCCCTTTCTCTGTCTGTAACTCTGCTTCTCAAATATATAAATAAGTCTTAAAAACATAGGAGAGAGAGAGAGAGAAAGAGAGAGGGAGAGGAAGAGAGAGAGAGAGGCCATTCTGATTGTCAAGTTGCCACAAGGATGCATGAAGAGCATGGAAACTGCCCGACTTGGGATTTCTGAGACTAATTAGATCAGACGATGGCTATTTGCTTTACAAAGAATTGAGTGTGGCTTTCTTTTAAACACGGGCTTCATTTCAAATGGAACTGAATAAACCAAATTCACTTTGGACATGTTTTCCCCTAGGAACTTAGTTCTGTCCTGAAAGCAGGCTTGCCTGAGGCCACTTGAGAACAGTCTAGGGTTCTACAGGGCACATGGACAAATGGAGCCACATGTTAATTTTTTTTTTAATTTTGTTTAAGGAATACAACTTCATGCATTTAATATATACGAATTTGGAAGCATGGTGATTCTTCCCCTCCTCCCTCCCTCCCACCCAAACCTCCACCTTTCTTCTTCTTCCCTCTTCCTTTCCCATTCTTATTTTTTACAGAGATCAATTTTGAGGCCAGTCTAACCACGAGGGCAGGCCAGCAGACATGCACATTTGAAGAAGCTAACAACGGGCATATTTAGTGCCTTCCTTCCAGACCAGGCAGTGTGTCTTTGGCTTCAGAGCTGGCAACACCCTTACCTTAAAAGGTTTAGATTGATGATTGGGGCCTAATAAAAACCCCTTCTCGAGTCTGTTGGGAAACCTGAGCATTTCAAATGTGAAAGATAATAAAGATGTTCTGGAAGCAATATCGTGATCTGTATATGTTACAAATGATAATTACAATTCATGATATTAGTTTTCATAATCCCCAACATTATAATTCAACAACACTGGTAGACCCCTTTTCTGAAGAAAATTTGGTCTCAAACTACCAAAATGTTCTCCTTTCATTTGATGTGTGGTGATTTCGGCTTCTGGATAAATTTTTCTATCTCCCGAAGATGGGGACATGCTGGGAAGTGAGCTTTGGGTATTAGCGAAATTGGGAAGTCAGGATGCCCTGAAGTTCTAGAACTTTAGAATATGCCTTCCACCAATTGAGGGAAGCAACTGAACAGCCTAGATGGTTCTTACTTTTCTTCTCTCTCTCTTTTTTTTAAGATCCTTTTTTTTTTTTTATTTGAAAGTCAGAGTGACACAGAGGGAGAGAGAGACAAAGAGAGAGATCTTCCATCTGCTGGTTTACTCCCCAGTTGGTCACAATAGCCAGTGCTGAGCCAGGCCAAAGCCAGGAGCCAGCAGCTTCATCCAGGTCTCCCACATGGATGGCAGAGTCCCAAGTAGTTGAGTCATATTCTGCTTCTTTTTTCAGTCCATTAACAGGGAGCTTTATTAGAAATGGAACAGCCAGGACATAAATTAGCGACTATATAGGAACTAGTGAGTACATACAGCTTTACCACTAAGCCACAATGTCAGCCCCAGTTATGTCTTTTCTTTTTTGTTTAATAAATAAATTAATACTCCATTTGTTGGTTCACTTTCCAAATGTCCACAACAGTTAAAGCTGGGCTAGGGTGAAACCAGGAGCCAGGAACCTCATCTTGTGGGTAGCAAGGGCCCAAGCACTTGAGCCATCACCTGCTGCCTCCCAAGTATACACAATTGCAGGGAGGTGAATTGGAAACAGAGAAGCTGAGAATCAAGCCAGGCACTCTGCTATGGGATGCAAGTGCCCCAAGCAGTTTCTTTTCTTTTTTTTTTTTTTTTTTTTTGACAGGCAGAGTTAGTGAAAGAGAGAGACAGAGAGAAAGGTCTTCCTTCTGTTGGTTCACTCCCCAAATGGCCGCCATGGCTGGTGAGCTGCACCAATCCGAAGCCAGAAGCCAGGTGCTTCTCCTGGTCTCCCATGGGGTGCAGGGCCCAAGCACTTGGGCCATCCTCCACAGCCCTCCAGGGCTACAGCAGAGAGCTGGACTGGAAGAGGGGCAACCGGGACAGAATCCGGCGCCCTAACCAGGACTAGAACCCGGGGTGCCGGCGCCGCAGGCAGAGGATTAGGCCAGTGAGCCGTGGCGCCAGCCCCCAAGCAGTTTCTTAACTGCTGTACCAAACACCTGCCCTCTCATCTGATTATGTCAGTGCCTTCCTGATATTGAAACACATAGCATTTCATAGATACAAAACTCCCCAGCAAATATTAGCAAATAAAATCTAGAGAAATATTAAAGGATCAAATATCATGACGGGACAAGTTTATCAGAAATGGCATGGTTAGTTTTGACAATCAATGTAATTCACCACAGTTATAAGAAAAAAAAAAGAGAAATCATATAACCATCTCAAAAGATAAAGAAAAAGCATTTAATAAAACTCTGTACTTGTTCATGATTAAAAATGTAAATCTTATTAAACTAGGACTGAAAGGGAACTGGTAATACCATGTTTGTGTGTCTCCCAATCCCTAAGTTTGAACTGTCTTTTCTTGCTTCAGTGACCCTGACAGAACCCTCAGTACCATGCTGGGTAGACGTGGTGATAGTGAACTTCCTTGTCCTGCTCCTGGCCTCAGCAAGCAGGTGTCTATTTCAGGAGTGCAGAGATTTATCAGACACACCCTTTACAGATTTACCAGAGTTAAACACAGACAGGAGGAAAGATGGAGAGCAAGAAAGACAGAGAGAGATCTTCTATCCACTGGTTCACTCCCCAACTGGCCGCAATGACCTATCCAAAGCCAGGAGCTTCTTCCGGGTCTCCCACGTTGGTGCAGGGTCCCAATGACTTAAGCCATCTTCAACTGCTTTCTCAGGCCATAGCAGAGAGCTACATCAGAAGTGGAGCAGCTGGGACTTGAACTGGTGCCCATAGGGGATGCCGGCACTGCAGGCAGCAGCTTTACCTGCTACACTACAGCACCGGCCCAACAGAGAATGGTTTTAACAGATTTAAAGAAGTGAATGGATGCAACATGTAAACTGTATTGAAAGACTCAGGTTGTTGTTGTTAAAGATTTGTTTATCTGTTTGCAAATCAGAGCTACAGAGAGAGGGAAAGACAGAGAGAGAGAGAGAGAGAGAGAGAGAGAGATCGATCTTCGATCTGCTGGTTCACTCCCCAGATAGCTGCAAAGGCCAGAACTGGGTCAAGCTGAAGCCAGGAGTCAAGGGCTTCTTCCAGGTCTCCCAGGTGGGTAGCAGGAGCCCAAATACTTGGACCATCTTCCACTGCTTTTCCTAGATGATTAGCAGGGGCTGGATCAGAAATGGAACAGCCAGACGCAAACCAGCATCCATGTGTGACGCCGGTGGCAGCTTTACCTGCTACGCAACTATGCCAGCCCCAAAACTCAGTATTGTACAAATGTTAATGTTCTCCAAATTGGCCTATTACTTCAGTGCAATATCAATCAAAATTCTAACAGGTTTTTCCCTCTCCCTCTCTTTCTCTTTCCCTCCTCCCTGTTCCTTTCTTCCTATTGCAGAATTAAGAAAAGATGCAAAAATGAAATTGCAATATCAAATAGTAACCTTCCAGAGTGTAAAATTCAAGATAAATTGACATGCTGAGGATTGGTGAGGATGGGAAGCAACAGGAATGTAGTCAGTACAACAACTTTGAAAAACTCTTTTGCAATGTCTGCTAAACCTAATGTATGTACACCCTAAGACTCTACAATTCTCTGAGATACATACCTATGGAAATGTGTGCATAAAGGCGCCAAGGCTCATGCCAAGTGTGTTCTGAGTAGTGCTATTTTTACTAAGCCAAGACTGGGAGCAAAACAAATGTCTCCCTACAATAGAATGGCGTAAATTATGGTATATATTCCAAGGAATTCTTCATGTCAATAAGGATGAACAAACTGTCAGTTCATTCCACAATATAGCTAAAAACCACTAGGATGATATGGACTAAAAAAGAAGAAAAAATATTGTGTGACTATATATGACCTTCCAAAACAGGAAAAACCAATCTGTGCTGACAGATGTCAAAAGAGGGCCCATTCTGGGAGTGTGGGAGTAATGACAGCAGCTATGGAGTAATGGCAATATTCCATGGCCAGATCCCAGTTCTGCTCACATGGGTGCATTCATTCTGAAAAACTCATCAAATGGCATGCTAATGGAGGCAGGTAAATCCCACTTGAAATTATGAAGCTTACCAAAACAGCAACAATAGCAAAAACCTTGAACCAGCGCATCTGTGTAAAGTTGGATGAGGTCTGGCATTCAGGTTTTGCAGGTCGCTTTATGTCTTTGTAGTTCTGGTGCTGTCTCCATTCATAATTTCCATGGCTTCTGTGTGTTGACATGGTTCTATGCCTTTCTTCTTTGCTGCCCCCTGACTTTCAATCTGAACTTGATACATCGATCCTGATCCTCTAGTTGTTTTGCCCTTGGAGCTAACTTCTCATTCTCAACTTCTTTCAATATTTTGCTAACAATGCCACCCTATCAGATCAGTTCTCTCTCTTCTATAAATTTTGTTAATGGCCTTGGTTTAACTTTGTCAGTGAAACTTTCACTCCTTTATTTAATTTTTCCTGGTTTTGCCTAATGGGTTTTTATGTTCTTGTTTTGATCATTTCATAGATTATTTACTTGGTCCCCTTTTGTTCTCTTCCAAACCCAAATCCTTCTCCTCTCCTTTTCTGTCTACGGGTGTGGGGTGAGGCACAGGAGCCCAGGCTCACTCTTCACTCGGTAGCTCCAGCAGCAGAGTCAGCTGACCCAACATGCAATAGGAAAGGGGAAAAAATTCAAAACTGGGGACTAAAACAAGGCTTCCAGTTGTGCAAAGTAGTTTAACAGATTACCTTCCTTATAGATTTAGCTTAGAGGCCGTCTGACCTGAGTCCATTTATGGAACAATTTGGCCTAGCTTTTATTTTTTCTTTTCAAAATAAATCTTCTTGTCCTCCATTGGAGACACAGAAGGAACCAGGGAGCTGGCATTTTTTTTTTTAAATCCATACGAAGGTTTTGGCCAGGAATTTTTCAAACACTGGAATAAATTTTTAATTTGGACTTTGATATCCAGACAAGCCCAGCTCATGTTCTCTTGGGTCTCCTTCCCTAAGACCAGACTTCAAACAGGCACTGCTTGCTGTCTCCGCAGAAGCAGCGGAAGGCACGGGAGCAGCCACGGCAGCAGCAGTCAACAGAAGCCGCTGCACCCTGCCTGGCCCGCCCTGGAAACCATCACACCCGGCTCCTCGGACCTGCAGCCAAGTGCCTCCGAGGAGCGTGCACGGGCGCGCAGACCGTCAGGGCGGGAAGCTCTGGGGACCTCCCACTTCCATCTGGGGAACCTGCCTGGAGCAATCTCAGTAACGTGGCATCCGAATGTTGAAGAGAACGGGCAAATACGCGCTGTGCCATTTGGCTTTCTTACTTGCTTCTTTTCCTCTCCATTTCAGACTTTCACTCTCATAGTCTGGACTGTGGAAGCCATCGGTGTGCCTCTTCCAGATGAGGCCCCAGAGAACTCTAAGGTTTAACCCTTGGCATAACTTCCTGAAGCTTGACTGACAAAACGGAGCCCGGGAAGGAGAGAGCAAGCGAAGGATTGTCTGTGACAACTACAGAAGCAAGCTCATTTCCGTTTGGAGACCTGGATGGGATGCTACACGGAATTGAAACTTAATACCCAGAGTCCCTTAGAGAAGTGGCCGCCCTGGGGCTGTCACCATCATTTCCTGTTAATTGTCGCCTGAAATAACCGGTTGTGGAAATGGCACAAGGCCTGGGGCGAAGGAATGTCGTCTGGGGAGAGTCCAGCCCACTCACAACCCGGAATGAAATACAAATGATTTAACAGCAGTACTGACAGGGTTCTCAGAATAAATCGGTTCCATTCTCACCACTTCAAATCACTTAATGTCACTGCCCTGAGACAAATTGGGGCAGTTGGCTATGGGTCACCCAGGCTTTGGGACAGTATCCCCACACTTACCAATGAGAGTGAACTGCAAGGCTGACCTAAACTGCCTGTCTTCCTGAAGGCTGAGCCTAGAAGTTAAAGGGGATGGGAATCATTACAAAGTCTTTCTAAGAATCCTCTACCTTCAGCCTGCAGCATGGGCTAGGAAATGGCCCCTTAGAAGCATGGGTGCTCCCATGTGCCGCTGATACTGGGCTAACCTGGTTTATCTACCAAGTCATGTGCTAGAACTTCATTTGTTTGTGATCCTCCTAATTCATGTTGGAACTTAAGTCCCAAATGTAGTGGTACTGAGGGAAGGGGCCTCGAGGAAGTGTGCAGCCATAAGGGCTGATTCCTGGCCCCCACATAAAAGGGCTTCAGGAAGCAGGTTTGCCCCTTTAACCCTGTGAAGATTCAACACAACGTACTGTCCTTGAAGCAGACAACAAGCCCTCACCAGGCACCAAACCTGCTGGCACCTTGACCTTGGAAGTCGCAGCTTCCAGAACTGTAAGCAATAAATTCCTATTGTTTATAGACTACCCAGTCTAAGATATTTTATTGTAGCAGCGCAAATGGAATAAGACCCAATCACCCACTGCTATGCATTTCTCCCTAGGTTTCCTCTTAGCTTCTTGGGAGAGGCCCAGTTCCTCTGTGCCCTGTGAGCTGTGCTTCTCATTTGAGTCGGTCACTTTGTCCACTTGGCCTCCTCAGCACTGGCCCCTGTCTGTGTATGGATTTGCGTGTCTCCTGTAGACTCAGGATACCAGGGAAGAGGTACCTGGTGTCTCCCACCTTTGTATCCCAGCCGTCTGGACAACATGCATAGGACAAAAGTCTGAGGAAGCAAGAGATGGAGAAGGAAGGCAGGAGGAAGTCCTGGACTAGTGGCTCTGTGCCCCGACTCTGGCTGCAAGTGGGTATCCTGCACAGGACCAGAACTTCAGGGAAGCTTTCTGGGAAGTCTACACCAAGATGCAAGCTCCAATATGAGTGCCCTGTGACTTTGTCAGGATCAGGATTTTTAGGAGGTATGTCATACCCCACCCCCACCCCCGGCCCAGTACTGAGACTGTGTTACTTCCTTATCTGCCCCTCAGGGTGTTAGCTCTGACCTTGCTATTCCACAGTGGGTGGCCAGGCTCTTCCTAGCCCACTTAGCAGTATTCCATTATGGCCAAGTAATCTTTCCCGGAGGATGGCTCCCACCATGCTCCTAGGTGAGAATCAATGCTCATTCCCAGGCCCCATCTGGCCTCCCAAGCTCTGTAACATCACCTCTGGCCCCGGTCAACTCTCCAGATTCCCTGTCGACCTTCAGGCCAATCCTCCATCATATCTTGCCCAGCCCTACCTGAGTCTTTCAGTGCTTCTCTGCCGATAGAGAAAGGATGCTTTCAAAACATTTTTTGTTAAAAGATTTATTGATTTATTTGAAAGTTAGAGTTACACACAGAGAGAAGGAGAGATACAGAGAGAGTCTTCCATCCACTGGTTCATTCCTCAAATGGCCACAACAAATGGCTGAAGCCAGGAGTCAGGAGCTTTTTCCAGCTTCTCCCACGTAGGGGCAGGAGCCCAAGTCCTTGGCACATTGGCAAGGAGCTGGATCGGAAGTGGAGCAGCCTGGACTTGAACTTTGGACAGGCGCCCATATGGGATGCCAGCACTGCAGGCTGTAGCACCCACAGAGAGACATATTCTTAAGGCACTACAATCCTACATTCTTTCTTGTACTTTATATCATCTCATTGCTTAGGTACCCCACTTGGACCAATCCTCACCATCTTCCTCCTCCTCTCCATTCTGCTAATGCACATGTAACCAACCCTATCAGGTGCTAGACCCACCCATCATAAGTGGCACAGCTGAGGTTCAAATCTAGGTGTGAACAAGTAGAAACTCCAACCCCAGGTTTATAATACCACATACCACAACACTGCCCCTGCCTAAGGCCAGGTGGTCACATAATCCTGGCTCTTGCATTGGCTTCCTGTCACTGTTTAATAATTTTTAGAAAAAAAAGATTAATTTAATTTGAAAGGCAGAGCTTCACAGAGAGAGGAAAAGAGAGAGAGAGGCCATCCACTGGTTTACTCCTCAAATATCTGCAATACCTGGGGCTGAGCCAGGCGGAAGCCAGGAGCCAGGAACTCCCTCCTCCTTTCCTAAACTGGGCACAAAAATCCAAGTACTTGGGCTATGTTCTGCTGCCTTCCCAGGTGCATTAGCAGGGATCTGGATCAGAAGTGGAGTAGTTGGGACTTCATCTGTGCTGTTGGTATGGGATGCCTGCATCAGAGGCAGCGGCTTAACCTGCTATACCACAATGTTGGGTCTGGCTTCCTGGTCCTAGAGAGAGGTAGCATTGACCAGAAAACAGGGGTCTTTCTGCTTGGGATGAAGCTACCAGCTCCTCAACAGTTTCTGCCCATCGCTTTGGAAATGAAATCACTGTGCAGGTCCCAGGGATGCCTAAAATGGATGGCAAGACAGTAGCCTGGCCTCAGAAAGGGACCCAAGATGGAGATTAAAAGAGCAAAGCACTCATCCCTCCGTGTCCAGTGCCCCTCACTCACTAAGGGCAGGAGCTGGTGTGTGCCTGTCTCCTTTGAGGAAGGGGAGAGAGGAAGCAAGGAAGAAAGGTGGAGGCAGGGGTGAGGACGGAAGGTTACGGGCCAGAACAAAGCCTACAATCCAGCCCATAGCTGAGCGGCTGGTCTGGGCAAGGATGGAGATTTGGACAAAGTGGCTGGTGCCCTCTGTCCTTCAAGTAGAGACATCAAGCCTGCACCGACGCTGGCTGGGCCTGTGGAGAAGGAATCTCTGGATGTGAGCCTGAGGTTGTGAGTTCACTCCTAGCAGGCGACAAAAATGAGATGGTTATTTTATGGTAATGATCTCTGTGAGGCTCCAGTGTCCAGGCTGCAGCCTGCACGCCACACGGCAGGCCTTCCTCTGGGTGCGAGAGGATTTCCTTGGTTTGCTGGGATTCGTTTGTTGTTTAAAAGGGGGTGTTTATTTTCTCTTCCTTTAATGTTATGTGTTTTTTTTTCCTCCGAGCTCACAAGGAGGATACATAATGCACAGGCGAATCTGCACTCTCCTATTTTGTCAGCTGCTTGTGCTGATTACAACTTCAATAAAGATCCTGGGATAAAGCCGAGCTATGTTTAAAGGATCTGGTGATGTTTTTAAAAGGCTGAGCCTGGCAGAAAAGACACAGAGTGCAGGTTTGCTACCTTGCTCTGTTTCCCCTTGCCCAGGTTAGAAAGGAAGGGTCTAGAGGAGAAACGTACTATGGTCTCTGGGAACTACGGCATAGTTCGCACATTGTTAACCAAATTCCCAATAGTTAGCAAGGTCAACTTCCATGACTTGGAAATTGTTTATGAAACTGCTGCTGAATGAGTGACCCAACAGCCTCCAGCTCTTCCCATAGGTCTGATTGACAGCTTCTCGGCACAAGGTTCTCAGCCGGACATGGACAGACAGGAGGGGTCACAGGCAAAATGAGGTCATGGAGCTCCAGGAATTCCACACCCAGTGATTCACCAAGGCACCCACTACGATCCATTCCAGCAAGACCCCAGCGAACTGCCAGTAACACATTGCTTTCAAGACCCGGAGTCACTCAAGGATCCCAGGGGAGAGGCATCAGTGATGCTCACCTGCTTCCCACTCCACCCACCACCTCCCCTCCAGACAGCCCCTCCCGGGCAGCCGCCAGAGTCTCTCAACTCCTCTTCTGGAAGAGCCAAGAAATGGCTGTGTGTGAAGATCAGCCTAGCCAAAGTCGCTGACTTTATGCAAAGCAGGCAAGTGCAGTCAAAACACTTACAGCAATCAATTCGAGTTGTTGGGTAAAGTTTTTTCCATGTCCCATACATTATTGAACAGTTAATTTCGTCTTTGTGCCTGCAAGACATTCCAGCTCTCAGATGACAGCTTTATCCATTAAGGAGCGCGTGGTGACAGCCGTACCGTGCGAGCCTTGCCAGCCCAGCCTGCCGGGAGGCGCGCCTGCATCACCACTGAGAAATCCTGGGACACATCAACATCTTAATCAATATGCGAGAGTCAATTACCGGGGAAGCGAGGGCTTAAGCAGGAGCTGATGATGAAGTTCACGTGCAAATGGGCTTGATCAATACGCAGCTCGTGGATTCACATCAGTCCTCCCACAGCCTCCAGCAGCCCTCCTCCCTACCACCCCTGCCCGACTGGCAGAACCATGCCCACTCCCATCATCTTTCCCAACCTGCCAATCACCGGCTTTACTGGAGCTTCGCTGGTTCATTCCCTTGGTGGATATACTGGGAACAGACGAAGCAGGGTTGAGGGGAACAATCAAAGCCAAGTTCTGTCATTAGACACTCAAGCTGGGCTCTTGCAGTTGACTACTGGGAGTCCAGAGTTCTCCTACAGGCCACGCCCAAGGGGTCAGTTCAACCCAGCCTGTCTAGGGAGAAAGGGGGCCTTGCAAGAAACCCTCATTCAAGCCTCCTTCTCTGTCGCTGAAACTGCTGCAGGAGGCTTCTTAACTGGTCTCGGAGCACACACACGACCCCAGCCCACTTCCAGCGCTGGCAGAGTTGGCTGGATTGTGTCACGTGTGTCCTCAGAAACCTCGGGTGTCTGTCTGGGTAATAAAAGCCACACTCCACTGAGTGTTTCCAAGGCTCCGTTCTGAGTCTCACAATGCTATTCACTATCACGCTAACATGCTCTTCTATGTTTCACAGGTGGCCTCACCTTTTGTTTGTTTCCTTTGCCTGTCTCATCTTTTAAGGCTCTTGAAGCCTTTTCCGATTTCCCCATTCAGAAGTGATAGGCCCCGCCATTATTGGTTTGAAGTCCTTGTGTTTGGATTCAAGTTGTATGTTTGCATACTGTGTGTGTGTGTGTGTTTCCCAAGGAGCTTCTCTGCTCCTTAAGAATAGGCACTGTGATGGTGTTCATGGCTACCAGGAAAGAAGATAGCTTTCTATGCTTGTTGAATTTGAATAGCTCAAAGAAACTGCCACGTGCCTGGCTTCCTCTCTTGTGAGTGTAGATGTTGTCACTATTGTAACCCTGGGTGCAGGTGGTCCCCTTGTCCTCCAGCTCCTGCCTCTCCTCCAGCACCAGCCTGCTTGCAGAATTCAGCCCTTGCATAAGTACTTTGGTGAGCAGTGGAAACTTCACTGGGGATTTGGGCAGGGGTCTACACCTTCTCTACTGCAGACAGCACAAATCCCCACGGGTGTGGCTGATCTCTGTTGTCCCTCGTCCACAGCCACCTCTGGTTGCCTCTCATTGCTCCTCCCTGCTGCCCCCACTTGCAGGAGAACACCCTTCAGGTTCTCACCCCTGTCTTCAAGGAGTCACCTCACTCATTCCACAACACTGTGCCCCTTTTCAAGAGTCTCGCCGTGCCAGCTTGCTCAGCTGTCTCTTCAGGGCCCTGAGAGTCTTCAGGGTACAACGAGGAATGATGAAGACCCACCACAGAACCCAGACAGTGAAAGTCCGAGAGAAAGGAGACAATGCGTCTCTCCTCCTTTCTCTGCAGGTGAGAACTGTGAGTAGGTCCCCAGGAGGCAGAGACCAGCGGTGGGGCAGAGACCAGGGGTGGTGGGTGGGGGGTAGGATTCCTGAGCTAGAAGGCCTGGAAGACTGCGACAGGGGGCGCCGCGATGTGCTTCTAGTGGTGGGAGTCTAGCCAGGTCCCAGAGGAGCTGCTCTGCTGGGCCCTTCTGACTGCAGGTGGCCACCATGCAGGCTCCACAGGGCGAGGAGAAAGGCTGTGCTTGGGGGAGAAGGAGGGAGGCCAGCGTAAGGATGCCTTTCTCTCTCGGAGGAGTCCGCAATCCAGAGGGCAATCAGACCACAGCGGCATCTGTGTGCAGGGAGTGAGCTGCCTCACAGCCTGAGGACTGTTGCCTGCACGCAGCGGCAGCCGGGGGACGGCCAGGCAGGGTGCCGTGCAGGACAAGGTGTGGTGAGAAGTGG